GGGAAGGGAGTTGAGGGATGAAGATGCTGATCTAAAAAGAATGTTTCCGTTCCAGTTAAGTACATTTTTTTAATGTCACACCTAGTGAGAGAGAGCAATCAATCTCATTGGGAGTTTGTTACAAAGGTGTGTTACACTCTAGTGGTTAGTTTACGTCATGGAATCCAATGAACGCATTAATCTTTGAACCTTCCTGCAGATATTTGTACATCCAACATTGATAACTGGAGTTACATGTTGTGCAAGCTTTTCTTTGCAACGTCATCATCATGGGTTTCTGTACAGTCTTGCTCTACAACGTTCAAAAGAAAAATGCCAGATTGTGATCATAAAGTGTTCTTGTGAGGTTCAAAGTTTATCTGTTGGTGCAAATAACTGATGTTCTGTCTGTATAAGGTTACACCGCAGAAATAGAAGATGACTCCTCTTGGAAATGATTTATTTTCTGTCATATCTATATTTTACTTATCTCTTCACACACACCTCTCTTTTAGCCCCCACTCTCCTACCATTTTTAACTGTGCTTTTGGTCATCTTATCATCTTTACAGTATATTCTGTGAAGCGCTTTGACACATCTCGGCGACATGATGGGGCACTATATCAAATGCAAGGATTATTATTATTATCATTCCCCTCCCCACCCACCTCGTCTGCCACCCCCAGCTCAGGTACCCATCCAGCAATAACAAGCTCCTCCTGACATGAAAAGCACCATATCAATTTAAATTGTATTGTATTGTGATTCTATGCTTTCCTTCCTCCCTCCTTCTATTCAGTTAGCAAGCTTTTGTATCCTATTACCTTTTTATTCTGTCTTGCTTTATATTTTGTTTCAGTGTCATGTATGTCCAGTTTCCTTATTAAGCCATCTTATTCGAAATTAGTGCATATTAGGTCCCTCCATTATAGTGGAGATGGAACATGTTAACAGAATATTACAACACACTTCTTGTTCACAATATTTCATGAGAACCTTTGTTTTTGTTAATGATTTTTAGATTCTTTTACAAAGCCACAATCTTCTCATTCTCCGAGCCCATATCCATGTAATTGCCAAAACAATGGAACCTGTCAAAATGAAATCTGCATTTGTCTGGATGAATGGAAAGGAGATCATTGTGATATTGGTTTGTACATCTGATCATTTTGATTGTGAAATGTCTTTGATGATCAATGATAGACAATTAATTCGTAGTTGGGTTAGAATCGTAGCCAATCGAATGCTGCAACAGTGAGAAATTGTAGAGTAACCACGTAATCCTCTAATTTCAGTGTCTTGGTACATTCTCCTGAAATAAAATGCGCTATACAAATGCCATTTTTTTTATTTTTGAATGTAATTGGTATTGAACTACTGTATGGGGTAAAGTTAGGCACATTTCATAAAGCGTCCCTTGCATTAATTATGACAAGGAATCCTTTATGGAACATCGCGACCTTTACCCCTATCATTGGAATCTTGTAGCAAAAGACATGGGTTCGATTCCCGGCAGGATGAAATGTTGGACAAGTTTCCTTACTCCACACGTCTCTGTTTACCGAGCAGTAAGTAGGAACCCAGTTGTTAGTCGATTGGCAGATCACCTTTCCGGGGGTAATAATCCCTAAAAAAAAATAATGTGGTCACTTCAATCCACGACTGTATGTGGGACACTGCTGTGTGCAATAGGCTGCTGCATTTCGCCCACAAAATATACAGTCAATTCACTTTACAGTATATTCTGTGAAGCACTTTGAGAGGTCTCGAAGTCGTGATAAGGCGCAAAATCAAATGCAAGGATTATTATTGTTATTATTTTCCAGAATACACCATTGCCTGTGTTTGCTGATGCACAATCTTTACAGAGCTCCATTTGTTTTTTCTGCAGCAAATTTTTGTGAAAGGCATAAGTACAATTCTGCTCAGGGTGTCTTTACATTCAATCGTATTTTGGTGGGGCAGTATGGCTATTCTAATGAAGAATGCGAACCACACACTTTAAATGGTATGTTCCTTGATTCACTTGAAGGTTGTTTCTGGGAAATTGCTGTGCACAAATTATTTTCCACGTTTGAATGGGGGGGGGGGGTGGGCATGCTAAAAAGAGATTGGTTTGTAAGAAATCATTTCCAATATATATTGTTTTGGAGCTTCAAACATGAATTTTGTGAAAAGTTGTGATACGGTCAATGTTTAAAGGATAGACTATGAAATGATCATGCACATACAGTCCAACAGTATTAAATGGAAATGCCTGCAGCCATTTAAAAACATATTACTGTACATTCGATGGTATATCATGTGTTGACACTCTGTCTTTGCCAGTTTGACAAAACTGCAAAATATTTGTATGAGTGACTTATTTTTTCTTTAAGAAATGTCTTTATATCTCAACAGCAAATATTTCAAAGGCAACTCGACTGTGCACTGAGAACAATAGGACCATCACTCTACAAGATGTCACGTTAGTCGATTGTAATAAAANTCTGGAGAACCTCATGGAGCAGGTAATAGTTCTTTTTTAACAGTTAATAAGCAGTTGGAGGAACATGGAAAAGAATGAGTTAGAAGGAAAGTGATACTGTATTAAATGTGCTCAGTGGGTTTCAAGGGAATAATCTTCCCCCTTTAATTGTAGCGTGACTGAATGCACGATTTAATGTGTCGGCTTTTACACATGATGTAATGAGATGTTTTCACCATCGACCATAATGTTCACAGATAAATGTTGAAACTGTCAATAAAATGATTCACAAAATCTCAACAGAGGCAGTGATTGATCATCTCCGCAATTCTGGGGGGTCAGTCAGGTGTCTGACACATGCGGAAACCCATCACCATGCTTAAAAACATCCAAACCAAACTTAGAATTCCATGCGTCCCACTTACACATGGAAATCCCAGAGACAGATTGTTGGAATGGAATGCAGTCTCTCTCTCTGGAAGAACGCATCCTGATGAGCCCAATACTGTCCTACTAGGTGGCAACGATTTTGCAAGAGTTTTGAGTCACTCTTAACATTGTGTTACGTTTGACATTATTCGACTGTTCGATAAATTATTTTCTATTAACAATCAGACCATTAACCAACAGATAATGGGGCATATCACTGAAGAGGAATTGCTGAAAATTGCTATCACCACTCAAATCTTGACTTCTGAACCAGATAAGATGACTGCGGAGAACATTACCTTTGCTGCTCAAATGGTTGAACACATTCTAAACCAGTCAAATTTATTGGACTCATTTCAGGTGACTAGCGGTTATTGAATTACTATGTGGCTTTGGCAGCTTGTGCCGAAACCAACACTTGGTGATTAACAGTTATTTTTAGGTTCAGGTAAAGCAGCTACATGCCATATTAAAACCAGTAAGAGGTTAATAATAATAATAATAATCCTTGCATTTGATACTGTGCTTTTCATATCTTCTAGACGTCCCCAAGCGCTTCACAGAATATACTGTAAAGTGAATTGACTGTATATTTGTGGGCGAACGCAGCAGCCAATTGCGCACAACAATGTCCCACAGATGGTCGTGGATTGAAAATGACCAATTTATTATTGTTTTTGGAGGGATTATTATTAGGCGTATGGAGTAAGGAAACTTGCCCAAGGTTTCGCCCTGCCTGGAACTGAACTCAGGTCTCTCACTTGCAAAGTGAGTGCTCTAACTACTGAGCTACAGGACTCTGAGTCCTGAAATTTCTCATGGTTCTAGCCTCAAGATTAAATTTAATTTACTTTAAAACGTCTGAAAAATTCTAAAATTCAGTCTTAATTTGGACTGCCAGGACATTTTGGTTTTCCGAAAATTGGCTTTCAAATTAAGACTGAATTTAATGGGGTAGTGGTTAGAGCTGCAGCTTATGGTTTGTGCCAAGTTTGCTATCTCAGGCGGGGCTGCATTAGGAGGATAAAGTGACTCTGGTCTTCCCAGCGTGAGCGAGGGGAAAAGCAGCCGAGAGAACTGGAGTGAATGCAGTAGTGAATTGAAGAGAATGCAGCAGTAGAGGCTGTGTGAATGCAGCACCGAACTGGAATGAATAAGGCAGGGAATCTAAGTATCGGCCTATCTTTGAATTGAGATTAATCATATCCTATAGCGAAGCCAGCAAATTGAGTCCAGCACTATACTGGACTATCCTTTCCTGATGGTTCCTTCAAATGATTGTAATCTGTAATAGAAGGGCATTATTGAGCCGAAATAGCGGGGTAATCCTGGGACTTTACAAATCACTGGTGCGACTGCATTTGGAATACTGTATGCAGCTCTGGTCACCGCAATATAAAAAGGATATTGCAGTGATTGAGAGGATACAGTGGAGGGCAACCAAAATGATTGAGGGGATGGAGGGACTGGACTACGAGGAGCAATTAGATAAACTTGGCATGTTCACACTGGAAAAGAGAAGGGTGATATGATTACAGTCCTTAAGATTCTGAAGGGAGGAGATAATGTAGACCATGATGAGCTTTTTTATCTTGTATTGAACAGTAGAACCAGAGTCTACAACTGAAGGGAGTTGAATTCAGAACAAATCTGCAGAAACATTACTTCAATGAGCGAGTGGTAAACTTATTGGACAGCCTCCCTGGGGAGACAGTGGAAGCAGAAAATGTCATTTGTTTCAAGAACAAATTAGATAGAAAATAATATCTCAGGATACAGTGTATAGTTTGGGACACAACATATCAAGTGACTGCCAGGATGGTGGAAGGCGAATTAGATGGACCTTGGTCTTCTTTCGCCTGGCAAATTCGTACGTTCTTATGATTATTAGTCTGAGCCCCTCAATTGCCTGGCACACAGTTCTCTTATTTCACACAGCATTTCATTTACAGCACTCATTCCAAATCACCTATAACAATTAAAATAGTTTTTTGGAGTAAACTATTTGAGGGTCAATTAAAATATGTTGACCGAGATACTTACTGACTCTCCTATTGCTTTTATTGTCTGTCTAACCTTGTGTTTTTGATTACTTGCAGGCTGCTTTCTTAGCAATCACCACGATCAGCCAACTTCTGAATGTTAATCAAACTGCGTTTGATCCCACGAATATAGAAATATTTAACATAACACAAAGGTGATTTACTGTTCAAACTATGAATATACACTGAGGATAAATTGAATGTGGAATCTTGTATTTTAATTTTTTTGGTATTTAACACTATCATTGGCAAGTTTGAAGTATGTAGTTGTGTGAGGTCAAAGCGCTCTGGGATTTTGCCCTGTGTGAGAGGCCCTATATAAATGCAACTTGTTTTTATTATCAGTATGGAATTCAATGCTGAATGTGTTTCACCTTATGAATATTTTAAACTGGTTTTCTGCTTTTTCAAACAATTTTTTATTAACTTTTTATTTTACTGTAAAGTGTAACAGCTGTATTTTATAAGGGGACAAATATAAAATATTCCGATAGAAACAAGTTTAAATGGCCATGATTGGTGTCAGGCGGTGTATTTCCTGAAAGTATGCTCGTTGTTTTAGAATGAAGTAATAAGTACGTGGAAAATCTATGTAGTTATACAAAACAACTTTTTTCATTCAATTTAGTCTGACAGAGACTTTGGAAGATGTCCTCACAGATTTAGGAAGTAGCTTTAGCCAAGTGGTTCAACCCAATCTTGCAGTTTCATCCATTAAACTGGAGAGTGGTACAACACGTGGAATTCTGCTTTCTGCATTAAAAGGTAACATTCTGTTGCAATCTGCCTTTATACATTTGAATTTAATAAGTGGCACTAAAAACATTCAAGCCATTAAAACATTAATAATACTGCACATTACACATTTGCTGCTATGTTCAATATTTAACACATTCTCCTAGTGAGGTTATCTTTACTACTACAATATGACTGCAGAGTTTGAGCCACTTTGACACCAGATTAAATGACACTGACCCAAATTTTTGCATTCTTATTGAAAACATCAGAAAATGACAGACACCTCTGAGTAATATAAAGTTGATTTTAATTAATAAATTGCATTGTTTTACAGGATACGATGATACTTTAGTCTCAAAACGAATTGAGCTGAACACCAATGCCTCAAAGTTCTTACTAAATACAAATGCGGAAGTTCAAATGTTTATCAATGTTTCCACAAGTAAGTAAGGAGGTTCCTTCATTTCATAATTTTAAATACCTATCTTGTTTGGGAAGGTGGAGAATTTTCTTCAGTATTGCTTTGAGCCTACGATGATGGCAATTATATTTCTTCTCATTCTTTCAAAATAACAATCCTACTTGTTTCTTAAATGAGTGCAGTGACCTCACCTCAACCACACTTCCTGGTAACCCATTCCAGTCATTACTTAACTTCTGTGTAAAGAAATACTTCCAGGTGTCTGTCCTGAAATTGTCCCTGTGCAATCCTAAACCAGTATCCTCTTATTCTTTGGAGTATCTGTGTCATTGTATTAGCCTGGCTGAGGACTGTGAATTTATTTTTACCACTTAACATAATTAGTAACACAATCACTTTAGTGTGAACAGCCTTGTGTCGGCAAATATCTTTTTGTGGTCAGGAAACAGAGGAACAAGAGGCGTGGAATAAAGAGCAAACCAAACGTACACACACTTTTATAGCAGTGAATCATTACTGTTATTGGTATAAATCAATATGAGAAAACCTTTGCATGATGTCAACGTGACTTAAAACAAGACTGAAAACAACAGCCAGGAATTTCATTTAAGTAACAGGAAATAAAAGCAGCTTTGGATCTAAAATTCCAGATGAGGAACAACTGTAATGGTGGAAAAATAAAACAATTTGGATGTGATTATTGACCAAATACTGAATGTATCTAGTAAGACAGAAGCTCTTATCAACATGACCATTCATATAGAGTATTGGGATCCTTTTAAAAGGCATTTTCATTTTACCAAAACAAGATACTTTGGCCCTTTTCAATAAATTGTGTGCAATTTTAAAGATGACACTTGCTAAAGAAAATCGGTGTACAGGAGGTGCTTCAAGGAAGAGGGACAAGGATGATGCTCAAAACAGAGAAGAGGTGAACATAATTGAACACCTTTTCCTCACAGAAAAGAAGACTTAGAAGGGTTGAATTGTGAAATACTTAAAGGCACGATTAATGTGAATGGGGTATTAGAATTAGAGAACGTGATGAAATATGGCGTGGTTCGGTGGAGCTGGACAAATATCTGGTCAGAAAAGGATTGGATGTTGTAAAGTGGGGTGTGCACCTAGATTACAAATACTCTAGTCCTGTTGAGATCATTGGAAACTAATCTGTACAATGGTCTGAATTGCACAGATTATAATGTCGGTTTAATAACCTGGGGATTTAACTCAGTGAGCTTCTGGGGTCAGAGTGATTTGTAATTATTCAGGAAAGGCTAATTGTAAACAGTCTGAAGAATTGTCTCCAATTTGTTCAAGTGGCCTTTTTTTCATTTTTTTTTAACGACTGATAAACTGATGCTACTGAAACTGCGAAAACAACTGCCATCCCTAAGTAAAGTCGGTTCTTAATAAATGTGCTTCCTTTGTTGCAGACCAAAGTCAAGTAGGAAAACTGGGTTTCATCCTCTATCAAAATGACAAGTTCTTTCAGTCGAAAGTCCACCGAAGCATAAATGATGGAAGCCGACGGGTTATTTCTGGAAATATTGCTGATGGGATTCTGAACAGTGTGGAACTGCTTTTTAACCCAAAGGTAAGTGTAGAAAAAGCAACTCTTGCTATTGAATCTGTGTAACACAGTCCTTCAGTATTCACAGAAAATCAGAGAGATATAAATTCAGCAGATAAGTCCAAACTCCTATGTGGATCCAAGCCAGCAAGCCAGGAGCTGGTTGTGAATGGATAAATGCACAGAGGTTATTTGGAATATGACAAGAGATTAGAATAAAATTGACATTATTGGAAGCCACGCAAACCTTGAGCTAATTGTAACAATGTACACTTCACGTCAAGTTACCTTGCAGAATGAACAGCCATCTGCCCCAGTCAATGCTTCCCCACACTGTTAAACTACCAAGAGGCATTAAATTACCACACCAAAACACGTGTTTCTTGACAGAATACAGGGAAGAAAAATTCTGCAAGCAATGGAAATACTAATTAATTTGGTACCCACAGCGCCTTTCATGTTGGTAGAATGTCCCAAGGAACTTCACAGGATATACTGTAAAGTGTACAGTGACTGCACATTTTGTGGCTGAACAATGAAACAGTAAATAGGTAAATAACTGGTGAATGCGAAAGGTTTGTAATACATCACCTTAGCTGAGTAGATAGTTTCAGAATTTTGTTACCATAACAATGTGAATCATAGGGGTAATAATTGTGGGGGTAATAATTCCTTAAAAAAATAATAAATTGGTCACTTGAATCCATGACTGTTTGTGGGATGCAGCTGTGCCCAATTGGCTGCCGCATTTTGCCCACAAAATATACAGTCAATTCACTTTACAGTATATTCTGTGAAGCGCTTTGAGACGTCTCAAAGATGTGATAAGGTGCTATATCAATACAATAATTATTATTATTATAGATGATTAATCTGACATGATTTCTCTTTTGAAAAAATCCTAAGCGAAAATTATTTCTATTCAGTACAACTCTGCAGAGTATTTCCTTCATGACCACGCCTGTGTATTTTGGGACTACCGAATGGATGATTGGAATACTGCAGGCTGTACAAAAAGCACAGATGAGTTTGGAAACTTGAGGTGCCAGTGCAACCACACCACCAGCTTTGCTGTGTTGATGGTAAGTTGGAATTGATAACAACTAAATGTGTTATTAATACTGTTTTCAGCAACCACTCAAGGGACGGGATCGTAGAGATGAGACCTTTTTATGTACAATACAACAGAGAATCACATTTGTACGGCATCTTTCATGCTGGGAGGATGTCCCAAGGCGCTCAGGGATTTGGACCTGAGCAGTGGGGTGGGGATTGGGGAAAGGGAGGATGGAGGTCAGGGAGGGTGGCTGAAGGCACGGGTAAAGAGGAGGGGTTGAGGCGTGCCTTGAAGAAAGCAAGGGAGGTTGTGAGCAAGCGAGGTGAAGGGAATGTGGGATGGAGTTCCAAAAGGTGAGGGCGGAGAGGCTCTACTCCCGACCGCCGATGTAAGGATGACTCCTAACACATTTATCAACACCGCCTCGAGCTGTGAGATGTCTCGAAGACACGATAAGGCGCTATATCAAATGCAAGGATTATTATCATGGTCAATATCACCAAGGATAATACAATACAAATTTACATTTATATAGTGCCATTTCACATCAGGAGGATGTCTCAAAGCGCTTAACAGTAATGGCTGGGCACCTGAGTATGTGATAATATCACTTGCCGCATATCTTTCCTCCCCCACCCCCACTCCTCCCCCCCACCCACCATTTACATATACTCAGTGGGGAAAAAAAGTCGATATAAAATAGCATTGTTTAAATAGCTTGTACCTACAGGAAATGTTCCCAGAATCTTATATCTTTTAGGTGAACTCATTATTTACCACATATAAAACTTTCCTTAAATTTAGTAATGAAGCTTGAGATGTTTGCGGCTGTTTGTGGGACCTTGCTGTATGCAAAATGGTTGCCGCATTTGCCTACCGGAAAACGCATATAGCAAAGGAGTCATTTTACTTGATAGTAAAGTGGTTTGAGATGCTTCAATGTGTGATAAGATGCTGTAAAACTTCTCATGCAAAAAAAAGTATTGCGTGCAGGAAGCCAATTTAAATGTGTGTTTTATTTTAATCACGATAGAGTTTCAGGTACAATTACACCTACACTGAACCACTTGAGATCATGTCGTATGTTGGATGTGGGTTTTCAATGGCAGGATTAACCATTACAATTGCATTTCAAATTTTAACCAGGTGAGAATTTAAACTGATGTCGATTGTGTCAAAGTTTATGGAACTTTTCTTTTTTTATGCTTTGCTTGAATGTGTTTCTGCTTGCACCCAGTGACCATAGGGGTGCAAAAAGAGACACACGTTGTGATAATCATCATTGACGATTTTGTCATGAAAAGTTCAGTCAATGTCTCCCCCCGTCCCCTCCCCATATCTAAATTTTGATAGCTGCATTCTTCATCCTTTCTTCATATATTGACAAGTGCTCTGAGATGCTACACTGAGTGAAGGCTGCTATATAAATGCAAGTTGTTATTGTTCTTGATGACGTTCTTGGGGGTCACCTGATGAGAAATCACAACCAGGTCAAGATTTATTCTGTATCTCTTTGGAAAGCTTTCCTGTCTTTAGTATAGGAGTACTTTGATCATTCCTTCTTTGAATTTTACTCTTCATGTCTCTCCTGAGCTACAACCTTAACAGCCCAGCGCAAAGTTCAGTCTCTCTGCACCCTCACTGTCTTATAAACCAACACTCATCACACATCAACACTTATTTTCCCCCCAAAATATACAGATAATTCCCTTTACAGTATATTCTGTGAAGCGTTTAGAGACATCTCAACAGCACAATAAGGCACTCTATCAAATGCAAGGATTATTATATCATATGCAGTATATCTGCTTCTTTCTACAGCTCATTCTTTGCCAGGGTTTCAAAAACCTGTAACTCCTTACCTATCCCAGTCTTTCCTACAAATCTGAAGACTTTTATACCTCAAATTTATATTTCCTAAATACTGCTTCTTGACATATTTGAATTATTCTTCTATTTTTTCCATCGGTAGAAATGCACTGCACCATGTCTCAATATTCCAAAAAAAGTGTCTCAGTATGAAAAAAAATGAAGTCATATAATATGAAACCAGAAGTAAAATTTTAAACAAAACTGTAACCAATGCAAAATTTCTCTTCAGGAAAGCACGCAAGACCTCACTTACCTGTGTGACTGTCAGCCTCTGCACGTCAATGCTCATCGTCAATTTGGTCTTCCTCTCTGGAATCAATAACCCCAATGCTCTGAAAGAAAAAAGCGCTGCCAACAACACAGAGAACATCGTGCTACGTTCGAACTGGTCTGACCCACCTGAGGTGCACTGGTGCACTGCTGTTGCTGCCATTCTCCATTACTTTTTACTGGCTACTTTTACCTGGGCTGCGCTGTACGGTGCACAGATGTATGTTCTGCTCGTTCACGTATTCAAACAACTTCCACGACACTTCCTGGTACTCATATCATTAACTGGATGGGGTAAGAAAATATGCAAGTTGTTCACGGACCTGGGGTGTGGATCGTTAAGATTTTTTTGCATTTCTTGCTGCTTTGGCCCTTGTAATTGGACAATTTAAAGAGGAGGAATATAATATTAGCTTCAAAGCAGACATGTTGTCCATTGTATTGGGTTTGTATCAACAATTACAAAAACTGCACATTGGGTTTTGATTAACAATTCAAAAAAATTCTAAGCTCTAGAAAAGCTGTAACCATTATATTATTATGATGAATAATAATATTTGTTGTCTTAATAGAAATATTATACCAAAGTTTCCATATTAAGTAGGTTCCGAAATAGACTGGCCTGATATAATTGTGCCTCCTTCAGGAGGAAAAACACTCACACAAACTGAAGTCAATGAACTTAAATCTGAATTTGTCCCAGGCTCAAACCTGCCACAGGAATTAGAAAGCAAGTTTCCGTGACTTGCATTAGTAATAATAACAATCCTTATATATAAGGCTCTATATCAAATGCAAGGATTATTATTATTACTATTCTAATAATATTACTATTATTAGGAGACATCTTAAAGCACTTCACGGAATATACTGTAAAGTGAATTGACTGTATATTTTGTAGGCGAAACACTGCACCCAATTGCACATATCAGTGTCCCACAAACAGTCATGGATTGAACTGACCAATTTATTATTACTATTTTTTTTGAGCGCTGACAACCTGAGTTTAATAATTGTTTTAGAAAAATTGTAAGGTATCCTTCCCCCACTATTATTGCTGTCAAAATCAACTGACAAAAATGTGCAACAAGCATTGAATGTGAGTTTCGAAACAAATAAAAGAAGCTTAATCAGTTACATGAGTTTTTGAAAGAATCAGAATAAATTGCTATGCTTCTGTGTAAAATAAACCAATGTAAAATAATTATAATTTGAAGAATCTGCTACAGGACATTATAATTGCTCATGTATTACTCATGTATGTATTATCACTGATCTGCGGTTGAATTTTGCCACATATTAACATTGAATAGCAGATCATAAATGGGCTAAACAAATTCTTACTTTATTGCATGAAGTTGACATTCACTGGCTTGAAATTATCATAGAGTTTATTTTGCTCAAATCAAACACGACCTTAATTTAAGAACTTCACAGTTGGAAAATTTAAGTATTTCTAAACACACCCTCTTCCTTATTATCCTCAGAGATAATTAAGGAACATAATACAATTGGAAACACCACAATTTTCACCCCTTAAAATTTAAGCACGTGTTGAGGTAGATCCTATCCCTTGACAAAACGCAACAGGGAATCTAATAGAAACACCACCAAAACTCTATAATTTTTCATTCCATTTATTTCTCAGGGATTCCAGCAGTAATTGTTGCTACAACATTAGCTGTTACCTATAGGGCAGAGAGCTCCCTAAGTTATCGCCAAGAGGAGTTGTAAGTACAAAATCTCATGTATATTTCAAGTCAATGCTTCCCTGTGAATTGTTTGATGGTTTCTGTGTTAAATCAGTTTTAAAGTGTAGAATATATGTACGCATAAGAGGTCGGGCCTACTGCCTCTATGCCCTCACCCTTTGGAAGACCATTTCACAGTCACTTCGCCTTGCTCCCCTCCCTTGCCTCGTGGAAGGTACATCTCAAGACCCTCCTCTTCGACTTTCAGTAGGGGTAGGGGACTCCTACCCCTACCGTCCCTGCCCTACACCCTTCTTAATCCCTGACTGTCCAGCACCTTGGGGTGTCCTCCCAATGTGAAAGGTGCTATACAAATGTAATTTGTTGTTGTTGTGGCAAATTATTATTCCTAAACACTGTACTTGTGAAATTCAAGATCTTGTACCTTAGACCTTAGACTGAAAACGCAAGTCTTTTTTAACTTACTTCTGACATTTCCTGGATTGTCACCAAAGAATTAAGAGGCAGGTCAGAAACCTTTTTTCATACTGATGAACGCTAGTTCATGGTTACAACTGGCTACTAAAGCTAACATGATAACATAACAACGTAAAGAGGAATTGGATAAGTAATTTTTGAAAATTAATCTTGTAAAAGTGTGTGGGGCAAAGAGCAGAAAATTGGGTTTAGAGAATATAATTCCAGGGAAAAAAATTGGCATCCGCAGAGGTGAAATAGCAGAATTGTCTGAGGTCAGAAATGAAAACAAGGAAAATATATATTGGATTATACATTATTTCTGATATAAATGTTAAATACAGTGAAGGAAGGTGGAAAACTTTCAGTAGTCATGTTCATGAAAAAGCGATTACACTGAGTCTTTAAGATTAAAACATATCAATTGGCTGCTGTGTTTTGCCCACAAAATATACAATTTACAGTATATTCTGTAAAGCGCTTTGAGACGTCTCGAAGATGTAATGAGGCGCTGTTTCAAATGCAAGATTATTATTATTTATATCTAAATAGAACGATGGGCATCTTGGGTTTTAACTTAAAAATATAAGGTAATGATCACCTCACTCTGTGTTATACGTGTCTGCCACTCAAATTGATGCTATTATTATTAAACTATTATTCAAAGACATTTTGGGTCTGATATTTGTGTTTCAGCTGCTGGCTTGCTGGCTTGGACATACATGGCAATTTGGATTTTTCAAAGCCAATGTTATGGGCATTTCTTATTCCAGTGGGGATTATACTTCTATTTAATTTAGCCATGTTTGTTTTGGTGACAAAAATGGTGCTGTTCAACCAAAGTCAAGATACTTGCAGGTAATCATCATAATGAGACAATGTCAAATCTATTTTTTAAAATATGGTAGTTTATTACTGTTTTCTGATTATTCTCTCCTAACAATAACTATTTCCAATACTCTGGTAATCCAGCAGACCTAAACCATCCATTGAGATATATCTGCTTCTATGGGCACCAGGCTATGAAGTCCTGTGACAGCATTGGGGTTCCTCTATCACCAACTTTCTTTTTTTGCCATCTCTTCTTTGGTTTAGCACTCATTGATTTGTTTATATGGTTCATTGGTATTTTCAACACCTTAAAGCCTGAGTGGGATTCAAGCCAAGTGCAGAGGCATAAGGACATTATTCCATTTACAAAACCCTTTCTGTTTAAATTTGTTCCGATGGCTGGTATTTAATGATTAACAAAAATATAGCTGTAAGCGGTTTTGTAGCACAAAATAAGGCCTTTTTGGTAAACTAAAGTCTTGGCCCTCTATTGGTAAGATCATTAGTTACTGAACTTGTGCAGACTTGTGCTGTGGTCCTTTAGTCCATTGAGAAATGAATTAATGCTAAACCATTTCACGTGAAACCTCTGGCAACGTCCTCATTGTTTTTCACCAAATTTGTATTGAACATAAAATAAAATTGATTGAGGTGGAAGGGCACTCAGGTGGAAGGGCACTCATGCACTTTATATTCGGTACTAAGACTACAGAGAGATTTATTTCTTCCATTTAGTTTTTCTTTCTTTAAATGGAACCTGCAATTACCTTTGGCTCATTATATATATTCATAACATGATAATGTATGACTGTAAAACCTCCATAGTCATTCCCAGTTAGTATTTAAAGAAAATCCCACCTCTTTTAGGCAAGTATTTTCTGATGTCCAGATATAAAGTAAAGTAAATTGCATCATATACATTCTTCATCTCAATTATGCCACCACAAGGAAGCATCAAACTTTCTCACATGTCTCCCAGCAACAACTTAAGGTTAGCAGAGGCTCGGAGACTGATCACTTTTGCTTCTCACAACCTGGTTGATATGTGGCACAATAAAATCAATAGGATAGGGAAAGAAAATAACCTAACTTTTAAAACAATTCCAGAATAATATGAGAAAGAATCCTATTCTATAATTTTGACCAAGAGATGACATTTATACATATTTATACACATGTGCTTTTACCGAAATATGAAGGTACAAACTTACCTTAGCATCTTTTTTACAAGCAAGTAGATTGCTCCAATATCTGCAAATGTTTTTTAGTTGATTTGCTTCTTTATCCTGCTTTTTACTTAGTGCTAAAAAGGTGTCCTCAGCGAAGAAGGTGATTGGTTCTTTATCTGTATCCGTTGTGTTGGGTTTAACATGGAGCCTGGGTTACTTGATGCTCATAGACCATGATAATACACGCACTGTCTTCAGCTATATCTTCTCTGCTCTAAATACCACTCAGGTTTGTAGAATTCTTTTCTAGAATTACCAGAGTTAGAGTTAATTAAATTTGTGATCCTGTGGTGAAGTAAGGACCGACAAAAATTCTTCAATCAATTGATATTTATTAATACAAATGAGTAAATATATGCATATCAAAGTTATATGTTTCATCAAATGAATGTTTACGACAGGTTAGTAAAGTTCATTGCAAACGGGTTGATCGGATCAATATAGTGGCTTTCATGTTGGAATCGGCTTGTTAACATGCATCAATCCATGTTGATTGTAGTTTATCCCTCTTTCCTCGAGATTAGTTGTGATTAGCTGCTCCATTCTCTATTCTCTGATATAACCCCCAAAGTCTCTGATTCTTTACACCATTTTGGTCACATGCGCCAGTCAGTTCGATGTGTTGTTAGAAACAGCAGCTGCAAACCAAGGACAAACTTTATCAAAATTCCAACAGCTTGTTTCAAAACAAGTCTTTGTCCCACGGTGATTTTGAAGAAAATATGCTTCCACCATCCTTGTCTTTCAAGCAGTTGCAGCTTTCCTGAAGTTAAACAAGTCCATAAGTCTTCGCAATTTTTCTTTAGTCAACCCTTTGGTCAACTCAAGCAATCCAGAATTCTGGGTTTCTGCTTACACTACTGATGGAATGATGAATGTGATGCTTCATAACAGATTTGATTTTAATTATTATACTTTTTATTCCATTATTTCATATCATGACTATTCCAAAACTATTATGTTTTTCTTCTTTATATTTTAATTGGATCCAAAAAGGAGCATTTGTTGCACTTTTAGGAAGTTTTTAGGAGTACAATTTACCATGCCAAAGCTTTATAAGTAGGTATACAATAATAATGATAATCCTTACATTTGATATACCACCTTATCACATCTTTGAGACATCTCAAAGCGCTTCTTAGAATATACTGTAAAGTGAATTGACTATATTTTGTGGGCGAAATATACAACACAAGCAGATAATAAACCCTAAAGTATTAAACCTCCAAATGTAAGTAATAATGTTTCGGTAATCAGAAATCACGAAGATTCATGGACTTGTTTAACTTATTTTATTACTATCTCAGAAAATTAACAAATCATTTTATACCGTTTTTTGTACATTAATATTTCTACTAAAACATTCTTTTTCAATCAACAGGGTCTACAGATCTTCATTCTGTTTACTGCTAGTCGAAAAACATTTTTTAAAAAGGTGATCAGTCTCGCCTGGGGCTCCAAATTTCCTGTGAACACTGATGTTGCCCATTCTAGATGCTTCTCAATTCAAGGTTTAAACACTCCAGAGAGTGAAGAACATTACACCCAAAATGACACACTGAACTTCTCTGAAACGACTGAATCCATACCTTCCGTTTTGTATTAGACCATAAAGGAACACGTCTTTGAACTGGAAAGACTTTTGAAACAAGATGGATTTTTCAATAGTTTTACTCCCTTTGAGTGCTTCCTTTGCCTTTCTGATGCCTTGTTTGTCTGGGAAGATAGCCAGGTGGAGGGGAGAGAGTTTTGTGTGTTATTTAACGGATTCCAATAATGATGCCTCCTTGTGTTCAGCCATTGACAAGTTGTGTTAGATGGTCTCTTGATCGGTTTTCAATTTACCACAAGACAAAAGCCACTATCACAATGTTCAACCCAGTATCCCAGTGAATAAAATGGATTGCATGTGTCATTGTAAAATTTGAAACTTGGATAGGTGCTGGAATGAAAATGTATTACCACAAAGATCTAAACAAAGCGTCTTACTTACATTTCTTTAACATTCACATATAATCTGTTTGTTGAAGAAATTCACTTGAATTGCACCCATTAATTTTAATTTATACTTTTACAAAACATTGGAGCAAAGTGAATCTAAAGGAACATTATTTCATTTATACATCTGGAAATAACACTTTAAAATAACAAGTTGTCATTATTTTTTTTTACTTTTAATTATTCTATTTTAATCACATTTTCTGTAGGCTTTACTGTAATAAATATGTTTACAAGGAAATCTGTGACTGAATTGCAGGTATACAATTTAATACATAGTGGATATCTGAAGAAAAATATATGGAAGTTTAAAGTTAAATTTATTATTAACCCAAAACACTCTATGGTTTAACAATACATAGCTGGTATTATCACATGTATAGTTTGTACCAATGAGTGACGACATGTTTCTATAGCCTATCATCAATATTACCTGTGGCCAACAACCAGGTGCTGTAGCCCCAGGAAATCTAATTGTAACTGATAGCTGGGATTGATATTCTAACCAAGGTTTCCTAGGCACTTGAGCAGCACATCAATGAAGTGTGCCGAACAAAATATTGCAATCGGCATAATTTAAGCAACCCATCTTGGAAAATCAGCAAACCTATTACATTAAACTCAAATGGATTTGTTTTCAACATACACAATTGGAGACAAACTCTTTATCTGTAAGAACTGATAACAAACGAGAAAACAAAACTATTCTCCCTAATGGACCAAATCCATGATTTCCTGTCTTAACTTGTAGGTTATCTGGAATTAGATAATAAGGAATTCTTAAAGTTTTGTTCCAGGAATGAATACAAGATATTATGGATGGTGAATGACATGTCATTCTGTGGCAGAACAAATTCCTTTACACGTTCCTCCATTTTCCTGTTCATCACAAAGGACGCAGAACTTCTATTCGTAACGCCTTATACAAGTCTTGATTTTCAAATATCCAGCTGTAAACAGGAAATGAAATAGAAGTAGGTCATTTGGCCAGTTGTGCCTGCTCCATTTTCATGGCTGATCTGTAATTCAATAACATGGTGAAAACTCTTAACCTTTTTGCACAAAAGAAAGTTTCTTTGTCGGCTAATCAGTCAGTTCCTTCAACCAGGCCCATAATATTTCCGTGTTTGATACTAGCTACTAAAAGTTAGCTGTTATTAGTGAATAGGCTATGGGAAAAGGCCCACAGGTACCATCCAATACTATCCAGTTCATGATATCAAAAAGTCCTAATGAGGTTAGAACACTCATATAGTGTACATTATTCTATTGGTAACTATTCACCTACAAAATACAGTCACTACAATTTACAATAAATCCTGTGAAGCTCTTTTGAGATGTCATGATGACAATTGTGAAGTGTATTTACTGTAAAGTGTATTTAAATGTAAGGACTATAATTTGCTGACTACAGTAGGTGGAATACTGAAAGAAAACCTACCAGGTAGGTCATTTTGCCCAGCTGTTACACATTTGACACTTCCCAAGTACTTTAGATAGCATTTAAAAAAAATCCTTCTCCAAAACTAATTTGTCTCATGTCCAATGATTTGTTCCTTTTGTTGCCATAAAGATGAGTGTCTCTTGGTTGTATTTCACGACACTATTGGCTGTGTTAGATTGTGAACAACAGAGTGATTTCCCCTTGGGAGTTTTGATTTTGCAGATGGTAGGATTCAAAATTCAAACTTCAGTCTCACACAAATGTTTGTAGTTTGGGAACATTGTGAGTGACTTGTGAATCAGAAAAGGTGGGACTATTGAGAAGCTGGAACAGACAACTCCACCCCATTGAAAACAATCGCACTGTTTTGGCAAATGAGAATGACTGAGTTTGTGGTTACCTTCAAGGAAGATTTTTTTATTTTTTGAAAAACGGTCTTAAAAGATTGCAAAATGTTGCATGCGTGTGTGTGTGTTGGGGATGGGGTGCTAAGTTTTATAGAAACAGACCCAAGGTAATGACAGCAAATGAGGAAAATAGGGGTTCAGACGGAGGCCATTCAGCCCATAGAACCTGTTCCATCAGTTTATTAGATCTTGCCAGACCTCTGATACGACCTCCCCTCTCCCCACAACACGCACTTGCAGGTTGTGTAACCTAGGGTGACAATATATGAAGGGTGGAGGGTGGGTGTGCGGGGTGGGGGGGTAGAGATGGAGGGTGTGGTGGTGGGGGGGGGTCGAGGGTGGGTGTGGTGGTGGGGAGTAGAGTTGGACGGTGGATGTGGTGGGGTAGAGGTGGAGGGTGTGGTGGGGGGGGGGTAGAGGTGGAGGGTGTGGTGGTGGGGGGGGTAGAGGTGGAGGGTGTGGTGGTGGGGGGGGGTGGGTAGAGGTGGGTGGGTGTGGTGGTGGGGGGTAGAGGTGGGGGTGGGGTAGAGGTGGAGGGTGGGTGTGGTGGTGGGTGGTGTGGGGGGTAGAGGTGGAGGGTGGGTGTGGTGGTGGGGGGTAGAGTGGAGGGTGGGTGTGGTGGTGTAGAGGTGGAGGGTGGGTGTGGTGGTGGGGGGGGGTGGAGGGTGGGTGTAGTGGTGGGGGTAGAGAGGGACGGTGTGGGGGGTGGGTAGAGTTGGAGGGTTGGTGTGATGGTGGGTGGGGGGGGTGGGGGGGGTGGTGGTGTGTGGGGGTGTTGGTGGGGTGGGTGGTGTTGGGGTGGGGTGTGGGTGGATGTGGTGGTGTGGGGGTGTTGGAGTGTGGGGGTGTGGGGGGGGGTGGAGTGTGGGGGTGTGGGGGGGGGTGGTGTGTGGTGGTGGGGGTGTTGGTGGGGGGGTGGAGTGTGGGGGTGTTGGTGGGGGTGGTGTGTGGTGGTGGGGGTGTTGGTGGGGGAGGTTGGAGTGGGGGTGTGGGGGTGGTGTGTGGTGGTGTTGGTGGGGGGGTTGGAGTGGGGGTGTTGGTGGGGGGTTGGAGTGTGGGGTGTTGGGGGGGGTTGGAGTGTGGGGGTGTGGGGGGGGTGTGGGATGTGGGGGGGGGTTGGAGTGGGGGTGTTGGTGGAGGGTGGGGGTGTTGGTGGGGGTGTGGAGGGTGGGGATGTTGGTGGGGGGTTTGGAGTGGGGTTGTTGGTGGGGGTGTTGGTGGGGGTGTGGAGGGTGGGTGAGGGGGTTGGAGTGGGGGTGTTGGTGGGGGGGTTGGAGGGGGGTGTTGGTGGGGATGGGGGGTGTTGGTGGGGGGGTTTGGAGTGGGGGTGTTGGTGGGGGTGAGGGGGTGTGTGGTGGTGGGGGTGAGGGGGGTGTGGTGGTGGGGTGAGGGGGGGTGTGGTGGTGGGGGTGAGGGGTGTGGTGGTGGGGGTGAGGAGGGTGTTGGTGTGGGGGGGGGTGTGGGGTGTGGGGGGGGTGGTGGTGGGGGTGAGGGTGAGGGGGGGGTTGGTGGGGTGTGGTGGTGGGGTGAGGGTGAGGTTGGTGGGGGTGAGGGGGGGGTTGTGGGGGTGAGTGTGGTGAGGGTGAGGGGGTGGTGGGGGTGTGGTGGTGAGGGTGAGGGGGTGAGGGGGGGGTGAGGGGGGTGTGGTGGTGGGGGTGAGGGGGGGTTGGTGGGGGTGAGGGGGGTGTGGTGGTGGGGGTGAGGGGGTGGGAGGGGTGTGGTGGTGGGGGTGTGGGGGTGAGGGGGGGGGTGGGGGTGAGGGGTGAGGGTGGGGGGTTGGTGAGGGTGAGGGGGGCGGTTGCTGGGGTGAGGGGGGGTTGGTGGGGGTGTGGGGGGTGAGGAGGGTGTGGGGGTGAGGGGGGGTGTGGTGGTGGGGGTGAGGGGGGGTTGGTGGGGGTGTGAGGGTGAGGAGGGTGTGGTGGTGAGGGGGGTTGGTGGGGGTGTGAGGGTGAGGAGGGTGTGGTGTGAGGGGGGGTTGGTGGGGTGTGGTGGTGGGGGTGAGGGGTGAGGGGGGGTTGGTGGGGGGTGTGGGTGGGGGTGAGGGGGTGGGGTGGTGTGGTGGGGGTGAGGGGTGGGGGGGGTGTGGTGGGGGGTGGTGGGGGTGAGGGGGGGGGTTGGTGAGGGTGGGGGGGGTGTGGGGGTGAGGGGGGGTTAGTGGGGTGGGGGGGTGTGGTGGTGGGGGTGGAGGGTGAGGGGGGGTTGGTGAGGGTGAGGGGGGGTGTGGTGGTGGGGGTGAGGGTGAGGGGGGGGGGTGAGGGTGAGGGGGTGTGGTGGTGGGGTGAGGGTGAGGGGGGTTGGTGAGGGTGAGGGGGGTGTGGTGGTGGGGGTGAGGGTGAGGGGGGGTTGGTGAGGGTGAGGGGGGTGTGGTGGTGGGGGTGAGGGTGAGGGGGGGGGGGAGGTGAGGGGGGGGGTTGGTGGGGTGAGGGGGTGGGGGGGGTGTGGTGGTGGGGGTGAGGGGGGTGAGGAGGGGTGTGGTGGGGGTGAGGGGAGAGACGGGTCAAACCCCACAGCCTCAGCCCAGGCTCCGGCACCAGCTCCCGGGGAGGGTCAAAGGTCGCCGCGCAGGCGCGGTCCCGCCGTCCTTTCCTGCCACGTCCAGATCGGGGGCGAAGAACTCGGCGGAGCGGCGGCTTTGGGCGTTCAAACTCGGGCTGTCAGGTACTGCGGAGAGAGAGAGAGAGGAGGAGGAGAAGGAGAGAGAGAGGGAGCGAGAGAGGAGAGAGAGAGGGAGAGAGCGCGAGAGAAACCCACACGTCGCCCACTCTTCCCCCTTCACTTCCCTTCGCCCGCGGGTCTCGACGGTTTTTTACAGTGAGAACGTTTTTTTTCCGACGCTCTCGAGGGCGTCCCACAGCGCCGCCGCACAGACAACCGAGACGGAGGCCCTCCCCGGGGCCCTCCCCTCACCCCTCACCCCTCTCTCTCTCTCTCTCTCTGTCTCTCTGTCTCTGTCTCTCTCTGTGTGTCTGACCGAACCGGGGAGTGTTTTCACTTTCAACCCCTTTTTTTTTTACGTCGGTTATTCCGGTGTGTGTGTGTGTGTGTGTGTGTTTTTTGGGGGGCGGGCGGGCGGGCGGGGGGGGGGGGGTCGCCTTTTCGTGTGACACACACACACACACACACACAGAGGGAGGGAGGGGAGTGGGCTCACTATTTTGCAGGATGTCGGTGTTGCGCCAGTGCGCAGGCGCGCGGCGCGCCGTTGTGCGCTGTTGCGCGGGGCGGCTCACTGTTTGGCAGAGGGACACACACACACACACACACCGCACCCACACTGAGTGAGTGAGTGAGAGTGAGTGACATCCGAGAGAGGCCCCGAGACTGGAGGAACCCCACAGTCAGCATTAACACCGCCCGAAGTGGACGTATTGTGTGCACAGTGAGGCAGCAGATTAACTCCAGTACACACACACACATATATATACTATATATATAATATATATATTATATAATATATATAATATATATTTTATATAATATGTATTTTATAATATATACATTATATAATATATGATATATATCATATATATTGTACAGTATATATAATATATAATATATGTCGTATGATGTATATATATATATTATATAATGTATATTATGTAATGTATATATAATATATATATTATACCGTATATATAATATATATTATATAATGTATATTATATATTATATATAATATATATATAATGTTATATATTACATATATATATAAGCTCCTTTCCATGGTGTGTGCGAGCACTTAACGTTTGCTTTTGTATTTTCTTTCTAATAATAATAATAATGATTAATAATTGATCATAACGTGAATGTGTGGGGAGGGGGGGGCGGCAGATGCTGTGCTGCCAGAGTCGTTGGGTCTTTCGTTGGGGCGTCTGGATTTTGGGACGACGTGAATTTGTTTTGTGGGTAGGTTTTATTTTTTTCAATTAAAAAGAAAAAGGAGAAACATTTTAGTCTGTTGAGTTGACGGGAGTTATTTATGACGGGAGTTTTTTTTTTAGGTTGTTGTGAAAGATGGACTCTGAACCCCTTTACTGGACAGGTGTGCAAATGTGGAAGTTGATGGGATGAGGAGGTTTTTAAGAAGTCAAATCCAAATTGACAATAGGTCGATTAGCCTATTTTTTTTGCACCTCCCATGCCACAAAAAGGTGACTCATATGTATGTCTCAGTTGGGATTTTGAAATGACAATCAAGAATTATCAGTCCTGTGTATTGTGTTACTAACCCAATTTGCGTTCGTATTGTTTTTAACTGAGTCCCATCTGTCATCTTTAGCAGCATGTCCAATATTTTGTAGTTAGCTGACACTTTATACCCATTCACTTTACGAACGTCCACTCTTAGCTCATTTTCGTTGGGCGATCACCTCCGTGCGATTCAGTCTGTCTGCCTATTCCAGCCGGCTCACCTGCTGTGCTGCTTGGAAGAGTGTCACCATTATACCAGCTATTGTGCTGCTGTCACTGCCATGAGTCTGCACATTGCAGCCTGAATTACATGAGTCTTTTCTTTGTTGGCATAATTGTATCTTAGAGCAGCCTACTTCATCTGGGAAGGTCCAGACCATGGAGTTTTCCCACAGTTGTCATCCATGTGCTGTTCTATAATTGGTTAGCAAATTCAATTGAAGTGTATGCATGAGTTGAAATCTGCCAGTCTCATACGTTCCCTTGCTTCAAGATGTCACAAGAGTGGCACCTTCCATTTGATACTATGATTTCAGCTTTTCAGCAGCTGATGTCACTTGAGTACTTATTTGTTTTGGAGGGATTTGGCAAAAATTGGGCAAAAAATTATTATGTAAGTACCTTACAGTTCTTTAAAATTCTCATTCTAGGCAGAAATCTTTTTCAGTGTCAGTTTTCGAATTTAAGTGTTCTGAGCTTTGATTTCTATTATTTATGCCGGTTAATACTCATTTAGATAAACATCATAGTCTATGCATATCCTACACTAGACAAAGAACAGACCTCTACATAAAATGCTTCCATCTTTTAATTACTTGCTCATCAAGTAGAGGTGGTTATATTTTTTAATTTGTACCATAAAGAAAATCTGATAATATTGATTTGGAAGCAATCCAGAGGCACTATTTGCAACTTAAAAGACTGATATTTTGGGCATACGTGCGATGCACTGCAAAACTTCCCATAAACCCGTCAAAGTGTCAAGCCTTTGTTATAAATTACTGCAGTATAACAATTTGGGATTGTTATATCATCTCTTTTTGGAAGATTCTTCATATCTCAGATTAGGTATTCTGTCTGCTTCACTGCACATTGAATGCTTAGATTTAAAGCAGATTAGGAGATTTGTATTTTTTATTCAGAACTTCAGTTTGGTAATGGTAAATTCAATTAATAATGCAGGTTTGGTAATTGAGATACTATACTGTACGATAGTGACTAGTTTTGTTGTTTGATCAACTTGCTAACAATTTCCTGCAACTACCTTAATTCCTTGGTCACTCTCCTCCATAAACTCCCTCTCTGCTACTTTTGACACCCTTGCTTCGTCACCTCCCGCACCGCCTCCTACTCCCTCAAATCCCGCCTCCCCGGTACACCAATCACCTCTGTACAGTCAAGTCACAGGTGCGTGCCACTAAACGCACCTGACTCAAATCCAATCTTACGGTACACCACCAGATCCTGCTGGAAATTGTCAAAATCTACTGCTCTGCCCTTGCCCTCAGCTAAATTGTCCTTCTACTCCAAGATGATCTTGAGACTAAAGACAATCCCAGACTCATCCACCACAAACCAGCTCCTTCATCCACCTTTCCATGTCTCGCCCATCTTCTCGTCTAACTCTAAATGTTAGGAGATAATGGACTTCCTCTGCCTTTGCCCACATTGTATACAGTCAATTCTCTTTACAGTATATTCTGGGAAGCGATTTGAAACATCTCGAAGACATGATAAGGCGCTATATCAAATGTAAGAGTTATTATTATCATCTTGTGATGATACATTTGAAATGCTGTCAACAGATTGTGGTAGCCTACTCTAGAAGTGCCATGTGCTTGGTTACTAATTCACTTGCCGCCATGAGATATTGGTTAACAATTTTTAAAATAAGCTTTATTCTGCGTACTTTGCCGTTGTTAATAGCATTGACTGAGGTATATTTTCAGAAAGAGCAGACTTCCCCTGCTGATCGTCTGAAATTTATTTTTAATCTTGAAAAGAATATCCGCTTCAATGTTGGGTTGAATATTGCAACTAATTGGACGGTTTGAAACGGGGGATGACAACCTTGGCTTGGGGTCCCATGCATCATTTACAAGATCTTCCGAGCTCTGACCAACCAATCGTATTTATTGCTGCAGATGCCACGACTCCCAGAGCAACAAGGCAAGATGCTAGACCCAATTCGGGTTTATTGATAGATGTGGTGCAGCATACGACAATACAATACAAAATTACATTTGTATTGTGCTTTTCACGTCGGGAGGACATCCCAAGGTGCTGGACAGTCAGGGATTTGGACCTGAGTTGGGGGGATCGGGGTTGGAGAGGGTGGAGAGTGCTGAAGGCACGGTCGAAGAGGAGCGTTTTGAGAAGTACCTTGAAGGAGGCAAGGGAGGGAGCGAGGTGAAGGGAATGTGGAATAGAGTTCCAATAGGTGGAAATCCGTTAATTTGGAGTGACTAATATGAACGTGCCCATCTGAAAGACAAGTAATGTCCAGATTACTACAACTGTTCATCTATGCCAAGTATTTTATAATTTTCTACACGTTTTAAGCTTGTTTTGTTTGAGACTAGTGAAAGTCCAAAGGCACGTGATATGAAAGACTTCTTTAATACTGAGAATAATGATTCTACTCCCACTTCTTCTGTTCATTCAGGGATTTTTTTTGAAAATCCCATAAATATTGCAAGGAGGAGGAAAAACAATGATCAGAACACAATCGGTTTTATATATTTCGGTCAGTGCTATGCTATCTTTGCCCGGCTGGCATGCTGAGCTGGAGCATTCACTCAATCGCTTCTCTGTTCAGTTCTGGATCTCAGTCTCTCTGAATGGAGGTTGTGGTAGCTCCCTGCAGCAAGAAGAGAAGATTTGGATGGGCGAGTCACACATGGGCAGTCGCTTGCACCTAAAACTACAGTGAGTTTGGCAGAGATCTGGAGGCAGACCATCTGCCTGTCCTCCTGCAGCAGAGAGGAGGTGGAGTTGAAGTGGAATATTGTAAGGATTTTAAAAAAATCTGTCTTGTCTTATTGCAAGCATATGCATATCAATAATCCAAAACAGTTGTTGAGCTCTAATAACATCACCTGATTTATTGATGCTTAATAATAAATAAAAACAGAAGTCGCTGGAAGCATGCAGCAGGTCAGGCAGCATCTATGGAGAGAGGAAAATGAGTTAACGTTTCAGGTTGATAACCTTTCGTCAGAACTGTTTCTCTTATTGATGGTTAATTTGTTTAATCTAGGTGTGAAACCTGAGACGAGATGACCATGAATGGACAGCTGGATCTGAGTGGAAAGCTCATCATTAAAGCTCAATTAGGCGACGATATTCGCCGGATCCCAATTCACAATGAGGACATCACCTATGATGAGCTGGTACTGATGATGCAGAGAGTCTTCAGGGGGAAACTTCAGAGCAATGATGAAGTCACGATCAAGTACAAGGATGAAGGTGTGTTAACTCAAATATAGCTAAAAGAATGATGGTTTGACTTTGAGCAGCGTTGAGTTACTCACTTGAATGTTATTTCATGCCCCAGCACCCCCTACTTCTCTGATCTGCTTGCCCCAACTCCACTACCTGCCCCCTTCGTTCAGCCAGCTCCGCCCTGCTGCACGTCCCATGTCCGCTCTGCTCCACCATCAGCGACCATGCTTTCAGCTACTACCCCCTTAGGCGTGAAATCAGGAGGCAGTTTTTTACACAAAGGGTAGTGGAAATCTGGAACTCTCTCCCTCAAAAGGCTGTGGATGCTGGATCCATTCACATTTTCAAGATGCAGGTAGATAGATATTTGTTAGGTCAGGGTATTAAGGGATATGGGGCAAGGGCGGGTAATTGGATTTGATGTACAGATCAGCCATGATCTTATAAAATGGTGGAACAAGCTCGAGGGGTTGAATAGCCTACTCCTGTTTCTGTGTTTCTATGAACCTGGAACTCCCTGCCTCAGTCCTTGCCCTCTCCTTTCCTGCCTTCAGGTCGCACCTGAAGACCTTCCTCTTCAACGGTGCCTATGATCACCTTCCCTCTCTCCTCAGCTTGGCATCAAGCTTTGCCACTAATAAGTGCTCCATGACACTACCCACTTGAAGGGTGCTATATAAATGCAAGTTTCTTGTTATTTTGGTTCAGCAACCATAAGAACCCTCACCTGGGGTTCTTGGCTATAACATTTAATTGCAGAACACTACAATTTTAATTCATAGTCTCGGATTAAAAGCAAACTGATGATCTTGGGTGGGAGCCAAAGTGGGTGGGGAGGGGAAAGATGACTGAAAGAGTGGTTAATATAATGCAAAATTACATTTGTATAGCGCCTTTCATGTCGGGAGGACGTCCCAAGGCGCTGGACAGTCACGGATTTGAACCCGAGCTGGGGGATTGGGATCGGGGAGGATGGAGGATAGGAAAGTATCCGAAGGCTCGGTTGAAGAGGAGGGTCTTGAGACGTGCCTTGAAGGAGGCAAGAGAGGGGCGAGGCGAAGCGAATGTGGGATGGAGTTCCAAAGGGTGGGGACAGAAAGGCTGAAGGGCCAACCGCTGATGATGGGGCAAGCCAGGCGGGGCACATTGAGCATGCCGGAGCCTGCTGAGTGGAGGTAGCGGACAGGTTGATGAGGGGTAACCGAGGTAGGAAGGGGCAAGGCTATGCAGGGACTTGAAGGCAAGGACGAGGATTTCGAACTCTATCCTCTGAGTGATGGGGAGCCAGTGAGCCGGATGAGGGTGGGGGTGATGGGGTCACGGAGCCTGGTGTGGGAGAGAACACAAGCTGCAGAGTTCTGGACGATCTGCAGCTTGTGGAGGGAAGAGTTAGGCCAAAAGAGGTTTGCCTTGAGATATGTCTTAAGCATAGAAAAGGCCATAAAAAGCCAAATAGGATTGAACACTTTCAATATAAAAGCAAAAAGCTATACATAGTTTGGGGTGCCCTCTATAGAAAGGACATGCATCACTGTTTCAGTCTTCACTGAATGACAGCATCATCATCCAAGGATACGCACTCTCACTAAGCCAGTCCATAACCTTGGCATCTTGTTTGACCCTCAACTATCCCTGCTACCCCACATCTGTGTCATGACTCTCTCTGCCTTTCCCTACCTCTGCAACATTGCCCGGCTCCACCACTGTCGCACATCGCAGGTTGCCGAGACCTTTATACACGCATTCATAATATCCAGGCTTGACGATGCAAACTCCATGCTTATCAGATCCCCAATTCCCCATCCAATGAGTTGAGTCCTCACACTTGTGTTCAAATCCCTTCACTCTCTGGCACCTCCCTTCCTCTCCGACCTCCTCACTCCCCAATCCAACACCTGGCGCCTCCGCTCAACTGACACAGGCGTCCTGCTCGTCCCTTGCACTCTCCAACCCACAATTGTAGGTCGAGCTTTCAGCCAGTACGCCCCGAAACTCTGGAATACTCTCCTTCAATCCCTCTGCCTTGCCCGCTCTCCCCTTTTTCAAGTCCCGCCTGAAGACTTTCCACTTCAACCATGCTTAAGCCTCCCCCGGCTTGGAGACAGGTTCCTCCACCGTGAAGCGCTCTGAGATGCTACCCTGCATGGAGGGTGCTATATAAATGCTTGATGATGTTGAATGATGCAGGGCGATGTTCATTGTGGTAGATTGATATTGAATTTGTATAATTAGTGAAATTTAAAGTTTGCGACTTGAGCATAACTTTTATTCAGGTGATATTGTTTTATTTCCTGATCTGAAATAGCATTTAATGCATGTGGACTCCCAAGAGGCAAATTCCAGAGTAGCGAAATTGATTTTAAATTAGATATGTATAAATGGAGGATACATTATGAAGCCATGTGGGATATCATTTGTCAGACGTATGGGGTAACATAATAACTCGTGATCTAAATCTATGTTGCTAGAGACTTATTTTATTTTGCTATATAATTAAAAATTAATGAGGTAAACGATTATGTAAAATTAAGCAAAGCGGTAAAAAAAATGCATTTAATTTGGCCTACATTTCTCTGTGCTGCTGCTTCTGGGTGAGTGCAATTAGTTTAATGTGTAATATGTGCTCTGAATTTTTGTTTATGGTTTGACTATTTTCTTCAAAAAATATTTAAAGGTAAATATCATTAATCAGAGTATATTGTGATCTTAACCGCAAATCGTGGTTGACCAAGATTGTAGGTGCATAGTACAGTATTTTGTTTCTATTAATTTAGCTTGACTTTGTAGTTGTTCAGCTGTTGTTCACTCAATGACCTAGGTTTGGAGGAGGAGAGCCTAATGGGCAGGAGGAGAGCAGTGCTAAGCAGAAGCAAAGAATCACTTAAGTACTATATTCAGCTACTCAACTTGAATTGACTGCTATGTGCCCAATTAGTCTGACTCATCAAGGTCTGAAATGGTTCTGCGTCACAGTTTAGGTTTTGCAAATGGGCATCAGATTTAGCTGAATTGACTCAATGTTGTGCTGTACATTTCTATAATTTTATGAATTAAGTTGAGAACCTAGCATTTTTTTGTATACTAATAATTTCAATTTTATCAAAGACCTTCCTTTTTGACCATGGTCACCTTTTCCCTCCACTTCGCTCTTGGTTTCCACCCCCAGTTCAGGTACCAAGCCACTGGTTACCCCAAGAGCTTAGGGGTGTTTTCCCGATGTAGAAGCTGCTATATAATCTAAAATGTACCATTCTTTTGCAGATGGAGATCTAATAACCATATTTGACAGTTCAGACCTTTCCTTTGCTACCCAGTGCAGTAGGATACTTAAACTTACATTGTTTGGTGAGTACCCTTTTAATATCAATATATTTATCAGTGCTTCTATTAAATATCCTTTGTACTTCAGAAAATGTTAAATGTTTTGTTTGTTTAGAAATCAGATATACAAAACACAGTCTGTTGACCAAACAGCTATAGAAAATACAAACACACTTTGTTGAATAATGATAAATATGTTTACTTCCAATGTATTGAAAATGTCAGTGTTGAATAAACAGCCATAAAAATAGCTACTCCAGAATATTTCAAATATCAAATATATTTAGCAAAGATGACATCAGATTGAGCTCATCTTCTCTCTAAAGTCACTGAATACACGCTGGCACCAGTGATGCTGCGGACATATGGGTTGAGGGATATTCTTGGATGGATCAATGGTGTAGTGTATTACACTATCTGTAGTAACTTTCGCTGCAATGTAATCGATTCGGAATTTAAATACGGCACTTTTTTGAATTACTAAATAGCATTGTAAAAGCAGAATGCACCCTTAACGATGCGGTTTCTAATAGTATTTCCAAACTGTAAACTAATTCAGTTGTAATGAACAACAACAACAAATTACATTTGTATAGTGCTTTTCACATCAGGAGGACATCCCAAGGTGCTGGATAGTCAAGAATCTGCACCCGAGCTGGTGGTTGGAGTCAGGAGGGGTGGAGGGCGGGTAGGGCGAGGCGGGTGACCGAAGACACAGTCAAAGAGGAGGGTCTTGAGACAGGTCTTGAAGGAGGCAAGGGAGCGGGCGAGGCAGAGGGTTTGTGGGATGAAGTTCCAGAGGGTGGGGCTGAGACGTTGGAAGGCCTGCCCGCCAATGGTGGGGTGGGCAAGACGGGGAACGTGAAGCAGGCCGGAGCCTGCTGAGCGGACCGCCTGGTTGGGGGTTGGAGGTCACAGCAAGGCCATGGAGGGATTTGAAGGTGGTGACCAGGATCTTGAACTGTATCCTCTGAGTGATGGGGAGCCAGTGGAGTTGGGCGAGGGTGGGGGTGATAAGGTTACGGAGCCTCGTACGGGAGAGAACAAGGGCTGCAGAGTTCTGGATGATCAGCATATGGAGGGAGGAGTTGGGGAGGCTGACAAGCAGGGAGTTTGCGTAGTCGAGCCTGGATGTGATGAATGCATGGATGAGGGTCTAGGAGGCCTGCGGTGAGAGACAGTGGCAGAGCCGGGCAATATTGTGGAGGTGAGGAAACACAGAGCGAGTCATGGCATGGATGTGGGGAATGAAGGATAGTTGAGGGTCGAACAGGACACTGGGGTTCCGTATTCACTCCGTGAGGTGTAGAGTGCATCCATGAAGGCCAATGCTGTCATCGCCCGAGCTATGGAGGCACTGATGGGAGCCAAGCATGCGGGCCTCGGTCCTGTTGATATTCAACTAGCGAAAGTTAGAGGAGAGGCGGTGTAGGAGTATAGACTGTTGAAGGCAACACAGAGGTCGAGGAGGACAAGGAGGCTGAGAGAGCCATGGTCCCAGATGGACAGAATGTCATTAGTGACTTTGACCAGGGCTGTGTCCGCGCCGTGGGCAGGAGAGGAAAGAGCGAAGCTTGGAAGCGACGACTCATTCCAGCGCCTTGGAGAAGAATGGGAGGTTGGAGATGGGGTGAAAGCTGGAAAGTGATGGGCCCTGGGAAGGTTTTTTGAGGATAGGGGTGATGCCAGTTGTTTTTAGAGGGGTGGGAACAGTGCCAGTGGATAAGGAGAGGTTGTAATATATCGAAAATAAAAGCTTTAATTTCAAATGGTATTCTTGGGTAGTATTACAGTTTATGATCAGCTCAAAAACAAGCCTTTTCATTTATTATACCATCCTTAATTATTGCACCGTTTCAAACTTTTTGAACAGGTAACTGCACTTTTGAAAGTCGTAATTTCCTTCTTTATTAAATCAAAAATCATTCTGGATTTTGTTGCTTGTTTTCTGGATGCTTTTTCATAGTGAAATCTACTTTATTTGACAACGTTTCTTGGATACGAAAGCAAACAAATGGAAAACACATTTGACAGAAAAGAAAACCTGAGATTTATTTTGGGCACAAAACTGCTATGGCAATGTAGAACTGTCGTAGAAATCACTGTGGGTTTACTCTGCTTAATGTTTATTTGACAATGACGTAATCAGCTTAGGGTTTTGGGTCCTATATTAGATACTTAAGAGATACTACACAAACTGCAAAAACAAATTCTACCTTTTTTCACCCTGTTTGTATGTTTTGGTGGGTGGAGGGAGAATTACACATTCAGAGAGAGGGAGAGAATTGACGTAAAATATAAAGAAAGGAAAGGCTATTTTGCCATTGAGGCAGCTCCTTCCAATAGACTATTCATTCTCTCATGGACTCTGTCTTACCGCCCTCTACCACCACCTCAATATCTTTTAACTAATCGTGCGATCATTTATACATATTTTTCCTAGCACATGGGTTTGTCTGATTTTTATTTAGTATGATTGATGAGAAGTCCTGTAGCGTATTGGTTAGAGCACGCACCTCGCAAACGAGAGAACCCAGATTCAATTCTCGGGCTGGGAAACCTTAGGCAAGTTTCCTTACTCCACACACCTCTTTACGTAGCAGTAAGCAGGAACCCTTATGGTAGTTGATTGATGGATCGCTTTTCTGTGTGTGATAATCCTTGAAAAGAAATTAACAATTTGGTTTCAACGACGTGATAAGATCGTTATATCAAATGCAAGGATTATTATATAGAATTTTATAAAGGGATGTGTCTTTCTGGGGCGAGAGAACTTTAATAATAATAATCCTTGCATTTAATATAGCATTTTATCACTTCATTGCACGTCTCAAAGTACTTCACTGTAAAGTGAATCGACTATATTTTGTGAGCGAAAAGCGGCAGCCAATTGTGCAAAACAACAACAACAAAATTACATTCGTAAAGCACCTTTGACGTCGGGCGGACGTCCCATGGCACTGGACAGACAGAGTTACGCACCAAGCTGGGGGTCGGGTTGCGGGAGGATGGAGGGCAGGTGGGGGAAGCAGGGAGATCGAAAGCACGGTCGAAGAGGAGAGTCTTGAGATGGGTCTTGAAGATGGCAAGGGAGGGGGCGAGGCGGAGGGACTGTGGGATGGAGTTCCGGAGGGTGGGGACAAAGTGGCGGAAGGCCCGCCCGCCAATAGTGGGGCGAGCGAGGCGAAGGACGTGAAGCAGGCCGGAGCACGCTGAGCAGAGGGAGCGAGCAGGATGTTAGGAGGTTGCAGTGTTATGTGGGAGCAAGACTGTGGAGGGCTTTGAAGGTGAGGACCAGGATCTTGAACTGTTTCCTCTGTGTGATGGGAAACCAGTGCAGTTGGGCAAGGATGGGGTTGATAGGTCGCAGAGCCTAGTGCGGGAGGGAACACAGGCTGCAGAGTTCTGGATGATCTGCAGCCTGTGGAGGGAGGAGTTGCGGAGGCCGACAAGTAATGAGTTTGCACAGTTGAGCCTCAATGTAATGAAAGCATGTATGAGGGTTTCGGCAGCCTGCAGTGTGAGACAGTGGCAGAGCTGGGTGACGTTGCGGAGGTGGGGAAGGCAGAGCGGGTCATGGCGCAGATGTAGGGTAGAAATGATAGCTGAGGGTCAAACAAGACCCCAAGGTTCCAGACTGGCTTAGCAAGGAAGAGTGTGCAACCATGGATGGTGATGCTGTCAGCGCCTGAGGTGAGTAGGCGCTGACTGGAACCAATCAGGAGAGCCTCGGTCTTTTGACGTTCAACTGAAGAACGATAGCTCTCATCCAGGACTTGATGTCCGACAGACATTCAATCAGTGTCCTACAAATGGTTGTGGATTGGGTGACCAAATTATTATTATTAAATAAAGCGTTTAAAAGAAATCTTCCCCCAAAAAACTTACAGAAATTTGCTACGGAGCGTGGGCGGATTTACATAGAATTTACAGCACAGAAACGGACCATTCGGCCCAAATAGTTGCCGGCCTTTATACTCCACATGAGTCTCCACCACTCCTTGCTCCATCCCATACCTATCTGTTCCTTTTTAAGAACATAAGAACACAAGAATTAGGAGTAGGAGTAGGCCATTCAGCCCCTCTAGCCTGCCCCGCCATTCGATAAGATCATGGCTGATCTTCTGACCTAACTCTTAATTACCTGCCCTATTCCCATATCCCCTAATCCCTCTGTTTTTTAAAAATCTATCAGTCTCAGCCTTGAAGATGTTCAAGGACTGAGCATCTACAGCCTTCTGGGGAAGTGAATTCCATAAATTCACTATCCTCTGAGTGAAGAAATGTTTCCTCAACTCTGTTCTCAAAGGCTGACCCTTAATTTTCAGACTGTGACCCCTGGTTATAGATTCTCCTACCAGGGGAAACAGACCCTCAGTGTCTACTTTATCCAGCCCTTTAAGAATCTTATATGTTTCAATAAGATCTCCCCTAATTCTTCTGTAAATTCACTACCCTCTGAGTGAAGAAGTTTTTCCTCAACTCAGTGCAAAAGAGCTTACCCTTAATTTTAAGACTGTGGCCCCTGGTTATAGTTCCTCCAACCAGGGGAAAAAGTCTCCCACTATTTATTCTGTCGTACCCCTTAATAATCTTATAGGTTTCTATAAAATCACCTCTCATTCTTCTATATTCTAGAGAATATAGGCCTAAGTTGCTCAACCTATCCTCATAACTCATCCCCCTCATCCCTGGTACCAACCTAGTGAATCTACATTGTACCCCCTCCAAGGCGAGTACATCCTTTCTTAAATAAGGAGACATCAGGGCCTATACAGTTGCAGCAAGACTCTTATATTCTAACCCTATTGTAACAAAGCCAACATACTGTTCGCCTTCCTAATTGCTTGCTGTACCTGCAAACTAACTTTTTGTGACTGGTGTACAAAGACACCCAAGTCCCTCTGAACGCTGACACTATCGAGTCTCTCCCCTTCTAAAAAATAATCTGCTTTACTGTTTTTGCCACCTAGGTGGATGACCTTACACTTCCCTACATTATACTTCATCTGCCACCTATTTGC